CTGTTTTGGGGAGAAAACAAAAATTATGTCTGGAACATTTCCAATTTTTCTGCTGGTACTAAAAAAAAAAAGCAGTAACAATAACAAAAATGTCTATAAAAATAATTTGAAAATTGCTATAGACCTGAAGCATAATTTTGTTGGTGTGGTATTATTGATGCCTCTGAAATTACTTAAACTAGAAATTTCTGTTGAAATTCAAAGTTACCTCCCATTCAGCCAGTACAATCCCTCTCTATTGCTCAGTGAAGGCTAAGACTTGAATCTGAAGTAGGGGAGATCTAGACGTGTCTCTCTTTTCACATTAATATTTCTTCTTAAGCGATGCTCCCTTTTCAGTCTTTGAACATGAAGGCCACTTAAAATGTTCTTATTGTCTGTAATAACTTCTAGAAAAATCCATATGCTGTTTAATAGCAGCAGGCTTTCTACACAGGAAGTGCTTGATAGGCTCCTGGGGAGCCTATTGTCTTCAGATCCTTGTTCACCAGCCACATCGCCCCTGCAAGTTCGGTTCCTCCTTTGCTGTGCTTCCTCCATTTTACTTTATTTTTTTATCATTTGGCTACAGAGAGCTGCCTCATGTCATTCTTTGCATACATCATCTCTGGTTTTTCTCTTTTGCTGCATAATGGCCCCGCTTTGCTCAGAGTCGCTGTTGTCCCAAGTGTGATCCTTTACTAAAACGGGGATTGAATGAAGGTGGAGCTCAAATTATCTGGGAGCAAAGGAAAACCCGGCATTTGAAAAGGACCCAGAAAGGAACGAGTACTGAAGCAGACTGGCCTCAATGAATTGCTGTAGAGGGAATTCTCAGTTTTGACACAAAAGGAATGCCTGGATACCAAGGAAAACCTGAGCGGGGACATCTCAGTAGGAAGCCTGCCTCGTCCGGCTGGTCAGCCTGGAGGGGTGAAGCCAGTAGCTCTCCAGACAGGAAGAGAAACATATGTATTTTATGAGTAATGGTTAAGCATTCAAACACGCCGCTTTGAAACACAAGGTACTTTGAGGAGTTGACATCCCTTCATAATTCACATTCATTATCCCTAAAGTAAAATATGTGTCTCCCTTTAGTTATTCTGTTAGGAATCGTGCTTTAAAGGCAGGAGGACATTTTTGATAATGCACATCTTAAACTTTTCATTAAACTACCAAATTTAAATTCTACCTTTTTGTGCACTCTGACATTTTTGTCTGGCATTTTCATTAATTTTGCGACATACATAAATGTAGCTGAAATGTTAACTGATCAATACTTTGTCTCTCTCATGTAGCACTAGCGCTCCATTCCCTAAGGACCACACAGCAGAACAGAAATTAAATGTGTAAAATATCAAATGTTAATGTTAAACACAGCGGCACTTACTGTATAACGACAGAAAAGGCTAAAACAATTCCAAATGGACAGATGGTACCACAAATTATCTACAATCCCATTTAAAGATTAAAGTTTGTCCTGTAAAATAATTCTTTGACGCACACTGAAGTGTGTCCTTTTACTGATAGCTCAGTTGTCCAATTATTTTTGTGCTCATTACAGTGAGAAATGACAGTATTGAAAAAGAAAATGTACACTCTTTTTTTTTTTTTTTCCATGTTGCACCCACTGACATGCACAAGAACACAAATGTCTGGTCAAGAGCCTGATGGAAATTAAACCCAACTGATGAGACATTTACACGTCTACAACGGATGATTCCCAAAGACAAGCGTCCCTGCCTTCCACATCACATACGTATGTGTGCGCTCTTAAGCATACAATATTCATAGTAAAATTTAAAACCCTAATTCATGGCACACAACAACAAGGACATTCCCAGGCACGTGCTTGCTTATATTTCATCCATCACCTTCCAGGCTGATTTCTGTTTCTAATAGAGGCAGCCGGCTTTGAACCTTCCACAGAACACACAGGTAGCACAAAAAGAAACGAGGGCAGCTCTTCACCTGCCTTTCTCATGCTCTCCGCTGTAACTGACATCAGGACAAAAAGGACTGTTTTTCTGTTTAAATCTCACTACTTTACATTGACTTTTGGATGCTAAATTAGAAAAGAGAAAACAGGATAGGAAAAAAAGGCACTTAAACGTTATAAAGTTTACTGATCTGGGCCTAAAACCAAGCAGCATAATGGTACAAACGCATGTGCTCCATGAGGCAGCTGCATTTATGAAAAAGTGGGCCAAGTGGAACCAATATTATAATAATAGACCCGTGATCCATCAACAGGGAATGATGGGAACAATATGTTTGTAACAATGGGGTGCTGCTCATAGCTTCTCCTAATGGAAAGCAGTTCTTTTCAATAAACTGTCCTAAAAAGGCTCTGGTTATGTAATAAGATCTTTGAAACATTTCATTTTTAAGTACATCATTTAATATCTAGAAGATGAATAAAAATCCTACCACGGTGTTTTCTTTTTTCCTGAATCATTATGATGTTAAGATTACAAGGTACATATTTTAAAAGCTCTTTTGGAAAGGAAATAGTATCTGTGTGGCTTTGAGCAAGGTACTTAACTTTTCCGTGCCTCAGCTTCTTTCTCTGCAAATCAGGAAAATAACAGTATCTACCTCAAATAAGGTTGCTGGGAATATTTAATTTACTAATGCACGAAAAGCAGTTTCATGCTGTAGTGCCTGGAAAAGTATTTTGGCACATAAATTTGTGATAGATATTGGGTTATCATTATATAAGGGTCTTTTTATATTAGAATTTAATCTGAGGTTAAAAGAGATGATGGATGGACGATTATGAAATAGTTTAGAATTTAAATATAAGGTCTAGGAAAAATTACTAAAAGGCATTAAGATAAGCCTATCATCATTTAATCACTAGCTTTATTAGAGCAAACTCTTATCTATATGGAATCACTGAAGAAAGTTTCTCCACATAAGAAAAATATTTCAGACTGACTGGATTATTGGTTGGTCTATTGATTTAGACAGTCATTTACACCAGGAGCCTACTAAAGGGGCTAGTTGCTCTGCAGGTGACACTGGAGGGGCCCCCATTCTCCTGGAACTCCTGGATCAGGTCCAGATAAATGAAGCAGGTTGTTGTTATTTGCTGTTTTAATGACATTCAACAGACTGAAATTCAATGCTTCTTTTTTTCAATGAAACCATTAATAATATTGCTTCTTCTAAAAATTACTGTTAGCATGTATTCACACTGTAGTTTCTGGCCTGTTTTTTCACCATCGGTGTCAGGAGTCCCTTTTCCTACCTTTTTATGGCCTGCCCTGCCCCGCCTTCCTGAAAGCATCTTGCATTCAACTTGTTTCACAGGATCGAGTCTGTCAGAAACTGACCACCAGCTAAGACAGAGATCACTACGTTTCTTCCCCAGTGGATTTGAACTCCTGTACGGTGAAATTACTCAAGTACTGTGTAGCTAGGTTTCTCAGAATTTCACTGGCTGATAGATAAATATTTTTTCAACCAGCAGGAAATTGTGAGGAAAGTCCACCATCTTGGATTCATTGTACAGGAGAGACCTCTAGAAGCCAGATGAAGTTTGTGAAGACTTATATACACTGTATTGCTGAAGTATCCAAAATGAAGGTTCCTGAACAAGTGATATGATTATACAGGTTTCTCTGTTTTCAAATATCATAAATAGCTATGAAACAAAGGAGAGAAACAAAGATGGCAGCATGACACTCTCGGTAGAATATTATTGTGTCTGCTATACGGGCCCCCCAGAATCTGGACGTAATGGCATAAAATACACACATAAACTCAACGTGATTTTTTTTCCCCTCATTAACATTAAAGTGCCTCTATGACGTTGAAAAACAACAACAAAGTTTGCTTAACAGTACTCCAGTGTATTTATCGTGTGAAAGAGCTAAATAAAAGAATATTGAGAGAGGCAGATTTTCTTTTCTAAAACTTAATGATGATGACAGTTGCTTTCTTTAAGGAGACAACAACATGTCTATGGGAAGCAGGCTGCCTAACTTTCTGGTAACTCACAACACAAAGGGACATCCACACTCTTTGTTCCATGTGCTCAGACATTAATGAAAGTCCCATACAAGGCCTGAGAGGAGGACAGAGCTCAAAGTGTTAAACTGATGTGCCTATACTCATTTGAATGGTAATACTAAAATGTTGATTTGTTACTATAATTAAAGCTCTTCTTGTAAGCCCCCCCAGATAAAGTCATAGTCTGCGAAACCTGCAAATATAAGGACACATAAGGGTACTCATATTCTAACAAGTATGACAATAAAATGAAAGATTTCAAAAGAACGATTCCACTTAAACTTCAGACTGAAATCCTGAATACGCAAAAATAATGTGAGAGCAGAAAAATCTCAGCTGAAGCACAGAGGAAAGAATTCTTTCAGAATTTCTAGCTTTGCAAGTTGGTCTCATCAGCAATTTTTAAATAACCAAAGTAAAAGGCCACTGGATGGATGTTGTCAGAGGACTCTGAAACTGTCAAATTCTCACTTATGCCTTTTTAAAAACTGGAAATCTCAGAAATAATAAAGCGTGTCTTACATAGGTAACATCCACTTCCAACCGTGATTCACATATTTGAAGTATTACAACTAGCATTCTACTGCCAAAGATTTTCATATTTTGAAAAGCTATCTAAAGGATAAATACAATTAAAATGAGGATGATCAAAATTCTTAATTTTGTCTTTGTTTAACACTAAGGACTTTTCTTGGCCCTGCTATTGGGCTTTGGGATTATGCAACATGTAAAATTTTACTTTTTAACTGTCACTGAGAAAATTACACATTGGCTGAGATGTCTTGTATTCCGGAAATCTGAGGCGGGGAGCGGGGATGTATTCTTGGACTCAGACCTTGAACAATCCATCAGGTTCCTGCCCACGGCAAATCTGCCCAGTCAAATCTCAAAATAGAAGTTAAAAATGGCCACATCGACATAACTGTAACTAGAGCCACAGAAACAGGCAGCTATGATTACTGAATTTAATGAATAACAATGTAAGTAATACAGTATGATCATACCACAAAAGCGGCAAGGCTCCTTGGGGGTGAATCCCAGTCAAAGCAACTATTAACGTAGTATGCAGCATTTACGAGCACCATGACACAGCGCTTCGTTCTGATAAAGTTCCTTAGCAGCAGCTGTAAAAGAAGATGAAAGCCATTATTAGAATTTGCAAGACTGAAATCCATCAGATATGCCACAAAATTCTTCAAGTTTCGTGTGACTTAATATGCATTCAGAAAGTTAATAAAGTTGTAAGAATATACCAAGCAATTTGGCTCCCAAGGTAGAGGCAAAGAAGTTTATCTGGAGAAGGTGGGAAGAACTAAATTACAAGAGCAATTTCCAAGTTAAATATATTTGCATAGAGAGTACTATCATGCAAGTTGAGTTACCTCTGTTCAAAAGAAAAAAAAAAATTTCCAACCATCAAAAAACATTTTTTTTGACACTTAAAATGCTGAGAACTTTATATTTAAAAATTCTGAAATCCTGTGCTTTTAAAATTCTTTAAATGCTTTCATTTCAAGATATTTCAAAATGAAATTGCTAACTTGGGATGTTTTTATTGAGGGGCTTAGAAAAAACCTGTCAAGTATTGCTTTATTATAGAAAAAAGAATATTTTATCACCATTTCAGTAGGATCTCCCTTTCTTCCTATCATAGTCTCATGCCCCTTCTCTTTTTTCCCTCTTCCTCTCTCTCCTTCCCACAATAAATTTTACCCACATTTCTCATTACTTTTTCCTAATTTTGGATTTAGGGAAAAGTGTATGACAACCAAGTACAAAATATTTCCTTAAAAAAGGTATATGACAAGCTATGATATATAAAATATGCTACAAGAATATATTGTACAGCACAAGAAATATAGCCAATATTTTATAGTAATGACAAATGGAACAAATCTTTAAAAATTGTGAATCACTATACTGTACACTTGTAACATAGAATATTGTGCATCAATTACACCTCAATTAAAAAAAGTGACAAAAAATAAACTGTAGATATGGAACAAGATTAAGAGGTATATGGGAATTTCTATAATTAAAAAATTTAAAACTAAGATATGGCTACAGCTGGAAGACATATACTAGATACAGGTTCAAAAAATTAAATACAGTTATGTTAATAATTAATTATGTCTGCAGGTTAATATTTTGCTACTTACAAGTATATTTCAATGCTAATCTGGTATTTTAAAGAAATAGCTATGTAAAGTTAACTGGGCTCATATGGAAAACATCTGCATATGTATGTACATATAAAAGCATGTACATGCTCAGCAGTTTAAACAAGTTAAAATTTCTTTCAGGCAAAATAAAAAGTGTCCCTATTTATTTCCTTCTTGGCCCCTAATCACCTTTAAGAGTTTTACTATTTTTAAATATAACTGTGGAAAAATGTAATCTGTATTTCCATTCAGATAGATATTACATTTGTACCTTAGGCACTGTCTTTAAACAACTAAAGATTCTACTGTTTTTGGTGAAGTGATTGGAATAAAAACAAAGTAGTTCTGGTTTTCTAATAGCACAGAAAATTATTAAAGATTTTAACACACACAGATGAGTTCTGTAAACTATAGAGTCTCAAATATATTTTATTTTAGCTGTGTTAATTGGACTTTTAAAAGGGGAAACTTAGTGCTCTTTTCTTAACTTCATATCAAATTAAATTTAAAGCTACAAGTCTAATTACAAGATATCAAGTCTAAAATTCCTTCCTGATAGGAAAATCAGAGTTCCTGATTTTCTATTTCCTGAGCTAAAAATGCCAATAAAAGTTCACTTCTAAAAGATCATAGTCAAAATCTAATTAACAGGAAGGTCTCCCTTAAAAGATAGAGCCCCCTCTCTCGTGGATTAGAGGGAAGAACTCTACGCTGGGCTAGCTTTACACACACCTGCATCATACCTGTGGGTGGTCTGGACGTATATTTCAACCTCAGCTTTTGGTGTTCTCATTTACACATTCCATGGCAATCAAATTGTATTTTATGTTCAAAATGATCATTCTTTTGCTAAAGCATGAATACATATCCATTCTATGCAGAGCCTACAGTATCCCCTTTCCTTTCTGACCACCCCCACTCAACTTAGTTTGGTATTGTCCTTCTTTGATCTTTCAAGGAAAAGAAGGGAAGAGAGGAAAAGAAAGGAGAAAAGAAAGAGCCAATTCACATCAGTAGATGATCAAACATTCCATAGTCTTTCCCCACCCACCCCACACCTCCAAAGTTTATTTGAATTTACATAGATGTTTTACAGATATAATCAGGTCTTCCCAGAGGGATTCATCTTTCCTTGCTGTTTACCTGTTTAGAGAGTCTGTTTTCCTCTTCAATGTACTTCTGTTCTTTGGGTATTAATGTTCGTAAGCTGGCTTTCACCTACACATCAACATATGTGTCTGTTATGGATGAATATATTACAAATGTTTACAAGTTTTTCACGCAGTTCAATTTGCAATCATTGCTAAAGTTTCAAAGTCCTGGCTGCGGTTCCCATAAAATATAAATGTACACAGTGGCACATGCACGCGCTTCCATTTCTGACGCCGGCAGGCACTGGCTACAGAACAGCCGCAGCGGCAGCCGCCAACTACAACAGAAAGTGTGGGTGTGCCAGGCAGTGGCCCAGGCGTATTCTCCAGGATACATCAAGGTTTAGAGAAAATGAGGGATGACAGAAATTCTCTACAAATCAGGAACAAAAGCTTTCATGAAACTGAACTCTTTAGCAGTACAAAAAAGCCAAAGTTAAGACTTACAGCATTAAAAATCACATCTATTTCAAGATAGATGACCCCCTTTGTTGGCCCTGTCAGCTGCTTGTTTTTCAAGACGTAGGCTTTCTGTTCACCATTTTGAATCTGCGGGAAAAGGACATGACAGCCGTCTGTCTCGCGGTCTCCACTGAATACACTCCCTCGGTGACCTTTGACCCCCAGCTGCTGAAACTGACAGAGAACCCAAAACAACTGTGGCAATTCTGACAAGTACCTGTTCATTACCAGGATCAAGTCTGTCAGGAAAAATTAACTATCATGGGATTCAACATGGCCGTGAATCGAGTATGTTAAAATTTTTAGTGTTCTTATTACAGACCTTGGTTGAGAAATGACAGATATAGAGCTGAGGGCTTCTTTTTTTTTTTTTTCCCTTCCTTGAGCAAAAGCAGCACAGAGCTATGTGTCAGGTGAATAAAACTTACGGACAGCAAGGGGATAGCAACTTTGCCCAGAAAGTCAGCACTTCGATCCCGATCTTCATCATACACGGTCACTTCAAGAACTGAATGGATATCTTTAATGTTGCTGCAAAATAAATATATGTAAGGGAAAAAAAAAAAAGACTTCATCAGTGGGGAACAAGAACACAAATGCTTTTGAAAATTTAGATAGCGCCAGCTGATTCGGTGTATATGTGTTTTATGTATGCTATTTGCATATACACATACATAGGGCAGCTTGGTATCTGACAGAATTTCCCACAATGCATCTTAGTAGACAGCAGTGATGGTTCTATTATTTGGAACTTTGAATCCAATTTTAATTTTAAGTTATAATTTTCAATAAAATATAACTTCCATCTGGATGGCCACAGAATAAATCACTGTTAAAAAAAAACATCAATAAGCTGCACTGATTTTTTTAGACTTTGCCTTCTTCTCATTATTACAATAATTTCTATCTTCTTATAACTCCCACATAATTTCTATCTTCTTATAACTCTATATTCTTATAACTCCAAACTTATAACTCCCAGGTTTGATTTCAGCAAGAGTCAGTTTATTTTGTATCATCTGTCTTTTTTATTATAATTTTTATCCCCAGCTCTCATCAAAATGCAAACTTATTTCTGTTAAGTTTATAGTAAAAATTAACTACACAGAATACAGAATGTAAAAAATGTAACATTGATAGCTATTGTACTACCCTAGGATTTAGAAATTAAGTAGTGCTCTATTATGTTCCAAAGACAACATATGCTAATAAACAACTGTGCAAGCTCTTCATATTTTTGTTTCTAGAAAAATAAGCCCCAATTGTTGACAGCATTTATTCTTTGATCAAACTGTTTACCAAGAAAACATGAATTAAGAGAAAACAAAAAATGAATATATTCATTACTGAAAGACTGCAGCCACATGTGAAAGAGGCTTTATCAGAGCACAATCAATTAATGGCTTTGATAATAATCAAACCTATTCATTCAATTATACATTCCAGAGAAAAACACTCTCCACAACCTTCTTAGGAGTGCAAGTCTCCTGACCAGGCTTTCATGTCTTATAAAAATGTGAAATTCCTTAAAGATAAATTGGTCAGATAATTAAATCTGATTAGTTACTGGATCTTAAGCAAGGACATTATAAGAAATTAATGAGGAATTTAGCAGTTTCTCATATACAAAAAAATAAAGCTATGTTAGAAAACTTTTAAGAAGTACTTCTATTTGGAGAGTTTTCCTTTGTTCCGAGTTCATTTCTAAAGCCCAGCTTAAAAAAAAAAAAAACCCACAAATTTAGGAGATACTACAGAGTAGCACTGGCAGCTTTTACAGTGAATGATTGGAAAAATTTATAAACTTTTTAAAACAAAAAGAAAATTAACTCAAAGGGTTTTTTCTTTTTTTGGCGGGGGTGGGGGCAAGTAAGACAGTACTTAATATTCTTATTGTGCTAAAATGCAACAAACCAAAACTAAAACATCTGCTGAATCCGAGACTGGATTGTTTGCTGATTTGAGCAATGGAACAAATAGAGCTTTGTCCTCCTTGGTGTCAGTGCAATTGGGGAGAATTTCAATAGAAAGTATAAAAGGAAGGAGCAGTATGGCAATTCAGTTAATGGGAGAAAAATCCTTAGTCAAAAAAATGCACAGCTTAAAAAAAATATCTGTATAAACACACAAAAAAATGGCACACCCTTTCCCCAGGTTTCACGCTCAGGAAGGTAATGCAATTATGCAATTCATTATTGCTGGCAAAGGCAGGCCAGAGGCACTGAACTGTTAATCAGTTAAGAAAAAACACAAAAATCTCAAAAATAAATATCATTTAGTATCATTCTTGAAGCGAGCTCAAGATAACCACTACTTACAATGTGAAGACTTTGTTCCACTCAGGGTTGAGATTTTTGTAGACAGTATGTGTTAGCAGCCTATCGTTGTTCAGCTCAACCACACAAAATGGGTCACTTTTACCTACAAGAAATATGGGGGGAACAGTTTTAGTGTAAATAGCACCCCCAGCTATCAGTATTGTGATCATGACCACATCTCTTTTCTAAAGAGTCTTACAGAAAACAGAAAATAAAGTACAATTTTAAAAATTGAAAAAACAAACATTAAAATAGAGTTAGATGTAACAGGATGATGTTAACAATTGTGATTCAGAGCATTTTCGAACTTGAAAAAAGTTCTAAAGTGCTAATTTATATAGCTATTTTAATTTTCAAATTTTGTTTTTACAAAAATAAATACTGTAACTGCCAATTATGAGGGCAAATGTGATATGTGCCCATCCCCAAATCAGGTTTTATTTAATTTAATGATCAGTTGAAAGGTTCAGCCCCTTCACTTTACATGCATAAAGTTGCATGTATTTTCCAACTCATCTGAGTCACTAGGAACTTGTAATAGAAATTCCTAAACAAGTTTATTTGGGGAAAACTGCTGTATTGCAGAACTACAATATTTTAATCTGACTTTAGATTCTCTTATGAAATATCTATGGCATCAGAAAAAGGTAAATTAGACCCTCTGAGGCAGAAAAAATTCTGCCATTTGAACTTAACCTCAACAAACCAATCTGCATGCTAAAGAGATGTGTTTTTTCTGTCTATGGAGAGAAAAGGATTTGAAAGTTATCACATGTTTACAGCCACTCTGCGCAACCATAGTCAAACCTCATCTATTCGGTAATTATATCTTGTGATGTCCTCAATATTTTTGTAATGTCATGTCCTATATTACAAGAACCTGTAAAGTCAGAGGCTCTATGGGGGCAGTATTAATGATATTAGTGCAGCATGTAATTTGTTTGATACCTTATACAAATGACAATGAAATCAATATTTAGACAAAGCTGTCCAGAGGTCATATCTTTTAAACGACAATATTGATTTAGACTACATAAGAGGTTAATGTGCATATTATTAACTTTAATGATAAAGAATAATTGTTTTAAATGCATTGTGAATTGTAGTCACAGTAGTTTACACTTCTGTGAAAGCTTAAATATCATTGAAGATTTTCCTATTAAAATTTAATAGGAAAGAATTCATTAGCTAGCAAGGACAGATAAGCTGTGTATTCCCACACAGCAGTGTATTTACTTTCCATATTGTAATTTTGAAAATGAGCTGTACACACTTTGACTTACCTTTAACTTTGACTTACCTTTTAATTTACCTCTTTATTAATTTTACATTAAAAAAGAGATTTAATATGTGTGTGTTAGTTCGGTGGCCTCATATAGCCCATGATAACTGCATAATTTAACATTGTGGTAGTCTTTTCAATTTTTGGTCTTGGGATTAATTTTCAATAAAGAATAGAGAACTGAAAGTCTTTCAGGTCTGGTGAAAATTTCATCCCCGATTTTGGATCTGTATTTTTTTCCCCCACATTCTTCACTCCTCTCCCCCTACCTGCTACCAACCTCATTTGTACCTTATACGTGCCATGAAAGACAGTATTCAAAAATTTTTTCTTCATTAAAACACCTTATAGTAGGTTTTATTTGCTATGTCAACTTTATTTTGTCCCAGAGAATTTAGGTAAAAGCATGAAAAGTAGGTTAGTTTTCAAAACCTTAGCTAGTCTTAAGACTCATATTAAACATTGTCTTTCCACCTAGCTTTGTGCTGGGTACTATGGTATGAACAAAAGAACACAGCACATAAACTACAGCTTCAACTAGTTTATAAAAGGTTTGGAGAGAGAAAATATCTCTACATATACCAAGCAGAGAGACTATTAAAGCCATATTTATGATGAAATCTATGACAAAAGAATACCTACTTCACTTTCACTTTAGATGAAACAATAAACTTCAGAAACACTTAAAAGACAAATATAACTCTCACACTTCCTTGGACTTTCTTGTAATTTTTCTTAAACACACGTACATTCATATTAATCTTAACCAGTAAAAATAAGTACAAAAAAATAGCACTTCTTGGTATTTTTGTTCCCTCATTTTCACTTACTTTACTTCAATTGTTCATACTATTCTATTTCAATTAACTTGGTTTTACTTGCCCTCGAATGATCAACAATGTGTGATAGATTTAGTCAAAACTACCACTTCTCCAATAACAAAACACAAGAACAAACTCTAGAGACTGAAATCTATACTGAAAAAGTTTACTTTAAACTTCTATGAACAAAGGATGAAAATGTTGACTTTTTCCCACAGGAAATTATATTCAGTTGTGTAAGCAAAGAGTTGGACTCTACTGGGCAACTAAACAACAACAACAAGACTGAGTATAATACTTTCAACCAACCCCATGGAAAGTCTCCCAAATCATCACCTTTGTTACTATATCCTTATTTGCTGACGATAGAAGACCTAGGTCAGTGGTTGGCCAAAGGATTAGAAAGAAACAAAATCTGTGCTTAGTGTTATTATTCATATTCTGATAAGAAACTAATGTATTTATCAAACCCTATGTTTATGAGGTAGTGGGAATCCATATTTTCTTGCTATTTAGTTGATTATTTCTCAAAACCATTTTAGGGAAAACCAGTACTAGCCATCTATCACCACATTACTTAACCCCTCAGTTACTCTTTTCTATCAGAATAAACTTGTTAAAGAACTAGAGACATTTTTACACCAAAAACAGTGCAAGAGTCTTCTAAAGCCACTTCTCAGTCATTTTGCTATTCAAACTTCCAGTGGCATACCATCAATGTCAAAGACATTCTCCTATCAGCACCTACCTTATAACTTGAAATGGGCAAGCAATGTAATTTTTAAGAGACCATGTTAGACAATATGCAGAACAGAATGGTGATTACATTGAAAAAGAAAGCCTTTTGCCTAAGAAAGACCAAACATGTTTTGATTTATACTGATTTTTCCCAATCTGACATCTATTATTCTTATGCTTACGGTCATTTTAAAGACTGTGATCAGTGACAGGAACTCATCCATGTAAAGGCTATTTTCATTTTTCCAAAAACTTCTTCCCAAATTTAATCCACTTTTGAAGTCTTTTCAGTATCTATTAAAATTCATGTTATATGGTATGTGCGTGTGTGTTCAGTTGCTTCAGCTGTGTTTGACTCTTTGCAACTCTATGGACTGTAGCCCACCATGAGATTCTCCAGGCAAGAATATTGGAGTGGGTTGCCGTGCCCTCCTCCAGCGGATCTTCCCAACCCAGAGATCAAACCTGTGTCTCTTACATCTAACCTGCCTTGCAGGCGGGTTCTTTACCACTGTGACACCTGGGAAGCCCATCATACGGTATGCCATATAGTTCTTCATCTCCAATCTCAAGTTCCTTAAAGTTCTTTACTTGAGCTATATATCTTGCATCCTCAAATATTCTAAGTACTTCCAGAGCTCGGGGCATGGCATTAAAGTCCAATGTGAAAGGCCAGTGGTCTGGGAGGAAGGGCCTAAACTTTGGAGGCAGAGCAAGCTGGGACTGAATACTCACTCGGGGACTCTGGGCCAGTTCCCATATCCCTTCAACAGTGACAGTAATGGTCCCTTGTAGATAATAGATAATATAAGTAGTAAAATGTCTGGTATACTAGCAAGGCCCTCAATAAAATATAGCAATAATAAGGGCAATAATAATAGTTACTGCAATAATTGCAGGCATTTTCTGAGTTATTGTAAGCCCAACATAATGTTTTCATTCATTTGCTCAAAAAATTTTATGATTCCTCTATAAGAAAGATGCTTTTACTCTTTCTGTTTTACAGAGGGGAAACTGAGGCTGGATAATTATATAACTCACCAGGTCACGCAGGTTGTAGTAAAACTATCATTCAAACTCAGGTTTGAAAACAACATGATGCTTAGAGCTCTTGATCGACCCCTTAGTCGCTCAGTCATGTCTGACTCTTTGTGACTCCATGGACGGTAGCCTGCCAGGCTCTTCTGTGTATGGGATTCTCCAGGCAAGAATACTGGAGTGAGCTGCCATTCCCTTCTCTAGGGGAGCTTCCTGACATAGGGATCGAATCCAGGTCTCTTGAACTACAGGCAGACTCTTTACCACTTGAACCACCAGGGAAGCCTCAACTGTGCCATATCTCAGTATTTAGTAAGTCACAGCCATGGAAAGGCTGGGTAATGTCTTGTCTGTAGATCTATTTATTCAACAAATGCTTATTGCTTACCACATACCAGGCATCTTCTATGTGCTGAGGACACAGACATGCATAAAACAACTTTAAAAACCGCTGAACTTGCAGAGCTTGCATTGCAGAAGAAAGACAATGGATAAGAACATGTGAGAGTATTTTAGAAAGTGAGAGTATTTTAGAAAGTGCTAAGTACTATAGAGAAAAATTAAGTTGAGAAGATCAATGGGGAGGTAAGGAGTGCTTCTATATATGGACAGTCTTAAAAAGGGCGGCCAGAGGAGGTCTCTGTGAGAAAGCAACAAGCAGGCAAAGAAATGAAAGAGGCAGGAGAGTGACCCTTGGCCAGAGAAGTGACTGTGCCTGGTGTTTCCAGAAAGCTCGTGTGACTGGAGGAATGGATGGGGAGTGGAAAGGAGTAGTAGACGACACAGCTGGAGAGGCACAGGGAGGGTGGACAGTCTCTGGAGGGGTTTGCTTTCATTCCAAGAGCTAGAGAAAGGTTTTGGCGGGATCTGGGTTGAGATGCAACAGGACCTGATGGCTGCCATTTGGAGAATCAGGTAGAGAGGGGGCAATGAAGGACATAGGGAGAAGAGTTAGTTAGGAGGATTTTACAATAAACCAGGTGACATAAAGTGATCAGATTCTGGATATAGGTTGCTGGTAGAACCAACAGAATTTGCAGATATCAATATTGAACAATCTATTATGCCTGATATTATTATTTGGAAATGGAAAACAATCTATTGAACTTAGCCAAGTCAGTCTCCTTTTGCAAGGACAAGAAGTATTCAACAAAGTGCTCTGACTAGTTATTTCTGGACTCCAGAAGAGGAACATTTAGGTAAGGCCATTTTATCTTTAGCTTC